GTCTGATACATCATCATCATCGTCATTGACATGGACAGTCTTTATTGAGCATCTGTTATGTGCTAAGTTATTTGCTAGAAAACCTGGACAAGTTACACCAAAGAAAGGAGCACGGGAAGAAATGTTAGCTCCTCCCAGGACTAGTCTGTTTTCTTTCTAGTTTTGTCAGTAAGCAAGAGCAGGCCCACTTGTGGGTGGTCCTTTGTGTACCAAAAAAAAAAAATTATCCACCAGGAAAGGGTTTGGACTTTGGGTGGGTTCTCTTCCCATACAAGTAGAAAAAGTAAAGCCAGAGGTATGCACTAGAGAACATCTAACCTGCTCCCCCCAGCCCTGGTGGGAGAGGAGGACTCTGGAGGCTGAGTACTGCTGATTTCCAAAGTACATGCTCATGTTCCAGGCCACTGCACACCAGGCAGCTTTTGGTGGCTCTCCTGCCTTGGACACTCAGGAAGCAGAGTTGCTTCCTTTTTTTTTTTTTTTTTTTTTTTTTGAAACTGGGTCTTGCTCTGTTGCTCAGGCTGGCGTTCAGTGGTGCCATCATAGCTCACTGCAGCCTTAACTTCCTAGGCTAAAGCAATCCTCCCACCTCAAGCGATCCTCCCACCTCAACCTCCCCAGTAGCTGGGACTACAGGTGTGCACCACCTTGCCCTGCTAATTTTTAAAATGTATTATAGAGATGAAGTCTCACTTTGCTCTCCAGGCTGGTCTTTAACTCCTATCTTAAGTGATCCTCCCACGTTGGCCTCCCAAAGTGCTGGGATTACAGGTGTGAGCCACCTCAACTTCCATCTTAAAATTCTGCCACCTTAGAGTTCTTTGCTTTCAACTGTGTAGCCAAGGAGGACTCGCATTCACTCAGTCTCCTCTGTCTGGATGCAATACATCATTTCTACTCGCTTTCCAGTGGGCGAGGCCCAGTCACAGGGTCCGAACGCAACAGCCAGGGAGACTGGGAAATGTATGGGGCACATGTATTTGGTGAGCACTGACTGCCGCAAGTACCTGGGCGTGACCCCTAAATTCCAGTGCCTGCAGAGCCAGGAAGTATTTTGTTCAGTTCATCTGGACTTGCTGTCTCAACTGGACTCAAACGACTGATGAATAAACCAGAATGTAAGTTTATTACTTTACCAAAAGAATTACAATTGTCAAGGGGACCAGATTACTCATATGCTGATTAGCACATTTTTTTATTTTTATTTTTATTTTTTTTTTTGAGAGGGAGTCTTGCTCTGTCACCCAGGCTGGAGTGCAGTGGCGCGATCTCCACTCACTGCAAGCTCCGCTTCCCGGGTTCACACCATTCTCCTGCCTCAGCCTCCCGTGTAGCTGGGACTACAGGCGCCCGCCACCGCGCCCGGCTCATTTTTTTTAAATGTATTTTTAGTAGAGACGGGGTTTCACTGTGTTAGCCAGGATGGTCTCGATCTCCTGACCTCGTGATCCGCCCGTCTTGGCCTCCCAAAGTGCTGGGATTACAGGCGTGAGCCACCGTGCCCGGCCGCTGATTAACACATTTAGTCCTGCTAGGTAAGTCTTTCTTTTTTTGAGACAGGGTCACCCTCTGTCACCAGGCTGGAGTGCAGTGGCAGTCATGGCTCACTGAAGTGTTGATCTGGGCTCAAGCAAGCCTGCTTCAGCCTCCCAAGTAGCTTGGACCAGAGCCACACACTGCTGCACCCAGCTAAATGTATGTATGTATGTATTTATTTATTTAAGAGATGGGGTCTCACTATGTTGTCCAGGCTGGTCTTGAACTCCTGGTTTCTGATGATCCTCCTGCCTCAGCCTCCCAAAGTGTTGAGATTACAGGCATGAGCCACTGTGCCCAGCCCCTTCTAGGTAAATCTATATGGGGTGCCAAATTTTCCCTAAGAATTGCTTATTGAATATTAAAAGTTTAGCGGGATGCTGCTTTGTTTTTTTTTTTTTTCTTTTGAGGTGGAATTTAGCTCTTGTTGCCCAGACTGGAGTGCAGTGATGTGATCTTGGCTCGCCACAACCTCCGCCTCCTGGGTTCAAGCGATTCTCCTGCCTCAGCCTCCCGAGTAGCTGGGACTACAGGCATGTGCCACCACGCCTGGCTAATTTTGTATTTTTAGGAGAGAGAGGGTTTCTCCATGTTGGTCAGGCTGGTCTCAAACTCCCAACCTCAGGTAATCCACCCGCCCTGGCCTCCCAAAGTGCTGGGATTACAGGCGTGAGCCACCGCGCCCAGCCGCAGAATGCTTCCAATAGTGTTACCAAGCTATAATTCAGCCCTCTCTGTCAAATGTTTTCAAAACAAATCACTGAGGGTCATGGTTCAAGACACGGTTCCCTGGCAACGTTGAAGATAGCTAACAAATTCTCTTTGGGTTCCAGCCACGAATAGGGTGGAATGGACCCCAGCAATCTGTATGTTTCCGAGATTCCCTGGGAATTCTGATGGTCAAGTTTAGAAACTATGAAAATAAGAATGTGATGCAACTGAGTAGGCTCACGCTTTGCCAGTTACAATCACGTTGCACACATGCTTTTTGGAGACAACACCCACACCACCCTAACAATGTATGTGTTCATAAAACTCATCCGATACTTACTTGTTCAGGGCCCTAGGACAATATTCCTGTAATTGACTGCTTTTCCCCTGATTTCCTCCTCAGAGTAACCATCGTCCAGTTGGGTGTGATCCCAGATCACACCCACGATGGAGGTGGTTTTGCTGGGGAGGATCCGCATGCTTGTTTGTGTTTATGCCTGGGGAAGCCCCTCGTGGCAAGATGTTTGGGAGAGGCTCCAAAGGCAGCACGGAGGATGACTCGGAACTTAGGGGGATTCACTTTGTGGTAAAGAAGCCCTTTCTAAAGGAGAGCTCCACTGATAGCACACAAAGTGAGCCCCACCCAGGAAACACTACCCACCCACGCATCCTTGCCGCCTAAAACCAGGTTATGTTTATCACATTCCTTCTATGTGCTTTACGTAAGGAAACCCCCGGAATCCTCCAAACTGGGCATTGCGGTCTGTGATGCATATCTCAAAAGAGGTGAGAGGGTCGGGCACGGTGGCTCACGCCTGTAATCCCAGCACTCTGGGAGGCTGAGGCAGGTGGATCACTTGAGGTCAGAAGCTCAAGACCAGCCTGGATCACATGGTGAAACGCCATCTCAACTAAAAATACAAAAATTAGCCGGGCGTGATGGTGGGCACCTATAATCCCAGCTCCCCAGGAGGCTGAGGCAGGAGAATCGCTTGAACCCGGGAGTTGGAGGTTGCTGTGAGCCAAGATCGCACCACTGCACTCCAGCCTGGGTAACAGAGTGAGACTCCATCTCAAAAAAAAAAAAAAAAGAAAAGAAAAAGGCAGAGAAGAGTCCTTTTCCTTCTAACTTTCTTGGACTCTTTGGATTACCTTGGGATCCTTCTATTTACTGCCTTGTTGGCATTATCCTCAGTTTATGAAAAAACGGGCCTACAGAGTGGAAGTAATTTGCCTACAGGTACATCTAAAAAATTGATGAAGCCAGATAGGAACTGCTCCCTCCTCATCTGAAACTCTTCCCAGAACTCTCTCTCCCACCCTAGAAGTAGAAAGAAGCCAGACGAAGATGCATCTTCATCTCCTTGTGGTTTCAGCAAGAAAGCAGGTGAGTTGGAGATGAAGCCCCCAGCCCCTGGGAAATTGGACCCACTTCTTGCTCCAAAGGCTATTGGAGTGACACAAGGTGTGTTTCTCTTCCATAGATCATACTCACCGTATTTTGCCTTTAAATGGAAATTGTGTATCCTGAAGTACCTTGTTAAGGGTCCATTTTCAGCCCGAAATTCCTTTTTTTGTAAACCGCTTCAGCAAATAAAGTGTGTTGGCATTTGCATTAGCAACCTCCCAGCCTAGGAGAGGATGCCCCAGCATCCGACTCTAAAAGACAAATTTGACTGGGCACAGTGGCTCACGGCTGTTATCCCAACACTTTGAAAGGCCAAGGCAGGCAGATTGCTTGAGCCCAAGAGTTCAAGACCAGCCCGGGTAACATGGTGAAACCCCGTCTTTACAAAAACTACAAAAATTAGCCAGGCATGGTGGTGTGCCAGTGGTCCCAGCTACTTGAGTGGCTGAGGTGGAAGGATCTCCTGAGCCCTGGGAGGCGGAGGTTGCAGTGAGCCTAGGCAACAGAGCAAGACCTGCACTCCAGCCTAGGCAACAGAGCAAGACCCTGTCTCAAAAACAAATAAAATAAAAGATTAAAAAGCAACAAGTTATCCCACAAGTGGTACCTGGTGGTGGTGGTGGTGGTGGTGGTGGTGGTGCTGGTGCTGGTGCTGGTGCTGGTGAAGTGGTACCTGGTGGTGGTGGTGGTGGTGTGGTGGTGGTGTGGTGCTGGTGCTGGTGCTGGTGGTGGTGGTGGTGGTGGTGGTGGTGCTGGTGCTGGTGCTGGTGGTGGTGGTGGTGGTGCTGGTGGTGCTGGTGCTGGTGCTGGTGGTGGTGGTGGTGGTGGTGGTGCTGGTGCTGGTGCTGGTGGTGGTGGTGGTGGTGGTGGTAGACCTCCCTCTGGTTCTTGAAATTGGATCAAAACGAGTTGACAATGCTACCTACTTCATGGGGCCATTGGAGAATTCACTGATAATGCATGCAAATCTCCTTCTGCCTGGAAGACTACCAAATAACTAAATGGTGGTCGTTATTGTTGGAATTGGAGTATATACTGAGCATTTCCTAGTTGCAAGGCTTTCACATGTATTACCAAGTTAATCCTCACAGCAGATACGACTCTGGTTTACAAAGGAAGTGGTGGATGCTCACAGAGGTTAGGTAACGTGGATCAGGGACACACAGCCAGGAAGGGGCAGAGGCTGGGAGTGCCTGACTAAATTCATGCAATTTCTACCCCACCATCTTCTCCCCAAGGAAAATAGTCCCTAATGCATGTGCGCAATGCTTAGAGGGCAGAGATGCTCAACAGATGCTGAGGGAGTGAGGGTGTAAATGAGATATGCCATGAAAAGGAGCCCCTGTGTACTTACATGTGCCTTTGTTTAACTTGTGGACAAATACAGACAGGTGCAAAAAATAAATCTTCTTTTTGCAATGGAGAACTTACTGTTCAGTATGAGTTCTGATACATACAAGAAAGGCTATTATGACACCTGAGTCAGTTAACTGAGGGAGGGAGTATTGATAACCATGAGTGTTAGCTGCAGGCTGGGTACAGTGGCTCATGCCTGCAATCCCCTCACTTTGGGAAGCTGAGGTGGGAGGATTGCTTGAAACCAGGAGTTCAAGACCAGCCTGGGCAAGAAAGCAACACCCCATCTCCACAAAACTTTAAAAATTAGCTGGGTGTGGGGGCATGTGCCTGTAGTTGTAGCTACTCTGGAAGGGGAGGCTGAGGCAGCAGGATTGCTTGAGTCCAGGAGTTGGAGGCTGCAGTGAGCTTTGATGGCACCACTGTACTCTAGCCTGGTCAACAAAGTAAAACCTGTCTCTTAATCCAAAAAAAAAAAAAAAAAAAGAAGGTTGGTTCTAGGACTGTAGAATCAATAGCAAAAAGCACAGGATTTGAGGGAAATCCTCAGTTATATTCATTTTGTATTCCAATTTCATGTTGACTTGATTTTTTACAAAGATCTTTTTAAAAAAGGAGTCCCTGCTTCATTTACCAAAGCTTGGAATGTTTGGGGACACCTGTGACTGCCTAAACCAAGTTCCACTGGGCTGGGGCCATGTCTCAGTCACTTCTGAGACTGGCAAGGCCCTGGTCTATTGGGACTGAACCCCAGGTCAATGCCAGGCATTTGCTGTGAATCAAAGAATCCTGAGTTTTTCAGAGTCCAGAAGAATCCGAAAGGTCAACCAAGCCAATCCCCTTTGTAACGTCCACCCATTCTGGCATTCTTCTCCGGTTCATGAAGCCCCTGCTGTGGGCCAGGCACTGGGGAAGCGAAAAGGCAGTCTGTGTCATCCCAGGGATCCTGACAGAAAGCTCTCTGTGAAAGAAAGAAAAGTCACCACCTGCTAACAGCAATGGGTTCGACAGGCAGGGTTCAAGGCTTATTTTGTTCCTCCTTTTGTCTGTCTTCCAAAATCTCTGCAACAGAATTATGTTACTTTTTTGTGTGTATGTGAGATGGAGTCTTGCTCTGTTGCCCAGGCTGGAGTGAAATGGCGTGATCTCAGCTTACCGCAACCTCTGCCTCCCGGATTCAAGCAATTCTCCCGCCTCAACCTCCCAAGTAGCTGGAATCTCAGGCATGCACCACCATGCCCGGCTAATTTTTGTATTTTTAGTAGAGATAGGGTTTTGTCATGTTGGCCAGGCTGGTCTCGAACTCCTGACCTCAGGCGATCCACCCGCCTCAGCCTCCCAAAGTGCTGGGATTACAGGTGTGAGCCACCACATCTGGCTTTTTTTTTTTTTTTTTTTTTTTTTAGACAGAGTCTTTCTCTGTCGCCCAGGCTGTAGTGCAGTAGCACAATCTTGGTTCACTGCAATCTCTGCCTCCTGAGCTCAAGTGATTCTCCTGCTTTAGTTTCCCAAGTAGCTGGGACTACAGGCACATGCCACCATGCCCAGCTAACTTTTCATATTTTCAGTAGAGATGGGGTTTCACCATGTTGGCCAGGCTGGTCTCGAACTCCTGACCTCAAGTGATCTGCCTGTGTCGGCCTCAGGACTATGTTACTTTTATAATTTAAAAAATATGGCTGGGCTAGGTGGTTCACACCTGTAATCCCAGCACTTTGGGAGGCCGAGGCGGGTGGATCACGAGGTCAGGAGTTCAGGACCAACCTGGCCAACATAATGAAACTCCGCCTCTATTAAAAATTCAACAATTAGCCGGGTGTGGTGGCAGGCACCTGTAATCCCAGCTACTCAGGAGGCTGAGGCAGGAGAATTGCTTGAACCCGGGAGGCGGAGGTTGCAGTGAGCTGAGATTGTTCCACTGCACTCCAGCCTGGGTGACAGAGCGAGACTCTGTCTTGGGGGGGAAAAAAAAAAAAGTAAAGATTTAATAAAAAAGGCCGGGCGCGGTGGCTCAAGCCTGTAATCCCAGCACTTTGGGAGGCCAAGATGGGCGGATCACGAGGTCAGGAGATCAAGACCATCCTGGCGAACACAGTGAAACCCCGTCTCTACTAAAAAATACAAAAACCTAGCCGGGCGAGGTGGCGGGCGCCTGTAGTCCCAGCTACTCGGGAGGCTGAGGCAGGAGAATGGCGTGAACCCGGGAGGGGGAGCTTGCAGTGAGCCGAGATCCGCCCCTCGCCCCCACCCGGGGGGGGAAAGGCAAACCCCCTCCTCAAAAAAAAAAAAAAAAAAAAGATTTAATAAAAGAGGCCGGGTGCAGTGGCTCACGCCTGTAATCCCAGCACTTTAGGAGGCCGAGGTAGGCGGATTACCTGAAGTCAGGAGTTCGAGACCAGCCTCAACATGGAGAAACCTCGTCTCTACTAAAAATACAAAATTAGTTGGGCATGGTGGTGCATGCCTGTAATCCCAGCTACTCAGGAGGCTGAGGCAGGAGAATCACTTGAACCTGGGAGGCAGAGGTTGCGGTGAGCCAAGATCATGCTATTGCACTCCAGCCTGGGCAAAAAGAGCGAAACTCCGTCTCAAAAAAAAAAAAAAAGAGTTAATGAAATAATTGTTTTTTTTAACTGAGCTAAAATTTGCTCTCTAAGCTCCCAGGCCTGTGGCTCTAGGAAACTCAGTAGAGCGTTTTTGTGGAAGGCTCTCTCCTTCCCTCGCTTTGATGGCGTTGCATGGGTCCTGGGAACAGACGCGGTACTTTTGGATCGCTGTAGCTCTCAGACGCCAGGCAGGGGTTTACTGTCCTGGGCTGTCAGCTGCTCCAGGTTGCTTGTGCTCACCCTTCTGAGTGTCTGAGGGTGGCAAGGGAACTGCATGGTGTGACAACGGAAGCACAGCGCCCAGGGCTGGCTTCAGGGCAGTTGCATAGGACTCTGAATTTGCGAAGACCTTGCGCTTGTTTTTCACGTTCTGCTGTCACCATCTTGAAATTTCTCATCATTCTTAAACAAGAGCGTGGCCTTTTTGTTTTGCACTGGGTCTAGTAAATTATGCAGCCGGTCCTGGCAGCATTACCATTCGATCAAGGGTTTTGAGCAAGACAGCCCTGGGTCTCAATCGCAGCTCCTTAATTTACACACTCTGCAACTTGGGACAAGTGATTGAATCTCTCTCCACCTCGGTTTCCCCATTTGGAAAACAGGAATAACCTCCTAGTGGTATTATAAAGACTAGCACTGTTGGTCTTTTCCTCTTGAAGTCCCCTCTCTCTCACTAGAGAGAGAGCTGTTTTCCTTTGTCTTTCTTTTGCCTATTAAACCTCCGCTCCCAAACTCTTCGTGTGTGTCCATGTCCTAAATTTTCCTGGTGCGAGATGACAAACCCCAGGTATTTACCCCAGACAACGTAGCCGCTTCATAATGGGGACCTTGTCCGGATACCAAGGTACAACATTCATCAGAACAGTGAGTGGAGGAGCGGACTCCACCTCTGACCTTTCATCTCAGGGCTCTCAGCCTCCATTTTAGAACCAAGTCAAATCAATAATGGGCATCCATCAGCCAGTAAAAAAGACCGTTAGTGTGGCTGCCATTCTTAAAGACTCGGACGTGAGGCTTACTGGGGAGAACATGGAGAATCCCCCAGCACCCATGGTTTGCTGGACATGTTTGAACCAGCTTCCTTTCATGGAGAACTTAGCTGTCACATGGGGCTGGAAGAGGTTCTGAAGCAACTGAGGATTTCTGGCTGGGGCTACCCCCTGGTGTTATCCAAAGGCTTCTAGACTGACCCCAGCCTCCAACTGCCCAGTGGGGTGTTGGCAACAGGATCTCCAACTTTGTGTTTTGTTTGTTTGTTTGAGAAGAGAATTGCTTGAACCCGAGAGGTGGAGGCTGCAGTGGGCCAAGATCATGCCACTGCACTCCAGCCTGGGCGACAGAGCAAGGATCTCCTGTCCTTTCTGTGTGTGCAATGTGCGGGAAGTTTACAGTTCAGGAAAGTAATCTTGTTCGCTATGTAAATCAGACACCACCTCCTCAAACCTGAATGTAAAATCCGGAGCATCCTCCTCTGGTGGCTCTTTTCCTCTTAGAAGTCTCTCTCACTGGAGACACAGAGTTGTTTCCCTTTCTCTTTCTTTTTCTTTTGCCTATTAAAGCTTCACTCCTTAAAAAAAAAAAAAAAACAAAAAACAGGGTTGGGCCGGGCGCGGTGGCTCGCGCCTGTAATCCCAGCACTTTGAGAGGCCAAGGATGGTGGATCACGAGATCAGGAGATCGAGACCATCCTGGCTAACATGGTGAAACCCCGTCTCTACTAAAAATACAAAAAATTAGCCGGGTGTGTTGGCAGGCGCCTGTAGTCCCAGCTACTTGGGAGGCTGAGGCAGCAGAATGGCTGAACCTGAGAGGCGGAGCTTGCAGTGAGCCGAGATCGTGCCACTGCACTCCAGCCTAGGCGACGACGAGACTCTGTCTCAAAAAAATAAAAATAAAAATAAAAACAGGGTAGCACTGTGTAACTAACATAAAGCAAATGCCCCTGAATCTTTATATTCTTTGTTTATAGAAAGTATTTAGCATAAGTAGCACAAAGTAATCCCTCAATGAGTAGTTGCTATAATTGTGGGGAAGACGGGCCGGCCCCCAAAGCCCAGGCCTTGCTGACAGGCGGCTTCTCATCTTAACTGACAAGTCCCTTGGCATCTCCTGGAAGAGCCAATGGATGCAAACCCGAGCTCATTGGAGGAGGTGCTCAGCTACGATTTGCACTGTGTCTTCCCACTCCCCTGCCACTGACCTCGGGGGGACATGAGGTCTGCCTCTCTCCAGACAACAAACACCATTTGTCCTCGACCTGGACCTGACCGGTCTTTCCGAACAGGCCATCAGGGAGGGGAAAGCTGTGAGCGGCCTGTGCGCGTGGGCTTGTCCCTGCTGTGATCCAAGTTACATCCTGTTCTGGTGTTGCTATGGCACAGCCAAAAACATCTGCCACAACAAACAGCTGGGACTGGCAGCTGGCAGCAGGGCTTGGATAGGCTGGGCACCAGTGGCCGGGCTGGAAAGGGTGCAAAACTGAGCAAAGCCAGGAGCTGGGCAGTGATC